AAAAAAAAAAAAAGACACATCATCTCAAGATAAATGTAAACAGTCCTTGGGAGAAAACTGTTAAAATATAGATTTTAGTATTAAGGGAAAAGTATTCTTTGTTTTAGTCTTAGAAACCAACTCACTGAACAAATATAGATCTTACTTGGCATGTAAATATACCTTAACACTCTGATCTTTTTAGATTTAAAGGTTCTCAGCTCTGGTGCTGTTAATGTTTTAGGCTAGAGAATTCTTTCTTATGAGGGAGCTGTCCTGTGTATTGGCCTCAATAGTTGACACACTCAAGTGGTGTCAAAAAATGTCTGCAGGGCAGTGCTCAGCAGCTAGGTCTCCGGCCAAATACATCAAGGCTGGCAGTTTCAACCTGGCCCGGGCCTGCTAAACAACGACAACTGCAACAACAACAAAAAAATAGCCAGTATTGTGGTGGGCACCTGTGTTCCCAGCTACTTGGGAGGCTAAGCAGGAGAATTACTTAAGCCTAAGTATTTGTGGTTGCTGTGAGCTGCTGAGGGCGACATAGACTCTGTCTCAAAAAAAAAAAAAAAAAAAAGTCTACAGACATTGTCAAATCACCCCCTAGGAGCAAAGTCACATCAGCTGTTGAGAACTACAGTTCCAGACCAGGTTCAAGGGGCTACCCCAAAGCATTACTAGAATGCAGATGCCCAGCCCACCTCTTGGAACTGCTGAATGATAATGCAGGGTTGGCTTGCTCTTATACCTGACATACTTTGCTCCCGTGCTCCTGGCGCTGGGGACATGTGACTCTGTTGTTGCAGGAAGCCGATGAAGCCTTGCTGCATAACCTACGCCTTCAGCTCGAAGCCCAGTTCCTGCAGGACGATATCAGTGCAGCAAAGGACAGGCACAAAAAGGTAACCATGACCCTTCGAAGCCCGCCCCCCAAGAAAACCCAGTTTGGGTTTCATCAGACAAGCGTGGGGCACGGTGCTGAAGCCTGAGACTGACAGAGTGGCCTGCTTTTGTGTGCACTGTCTCTTGAACCAAACGGGCAGCTTGGTCACCGGATGCATCTAGAGGAACAGGCAGTGGTTGGTGTGCGGGGGCCACAGTGTTGGGACTGATGTCTGTGTTGTGCAGTACAATTTACAAAGTGATTTCAAATAGCTCTGTCTTGATTAAAGTATAGTTTACTACTGTTTAAGCTCCAGAAAATGCAGAAATGCAAAAATCAAGTATTGTTTTTAGCTCAGCTTTGCGCCAGTCACTTGAAGAAGGTTTATTTTGGAACCTTCTCTCCTAAGTGCTCTGATGTCCCCTGACCCCACTGGCTTCTCCTGGGCCTAACTTTGGGGGCCCCCTGGTGTATAAGAAGATCAAATCCTGCAGCTGTGTAAACAGGGTGAGTGGCCTACCCTCTCTGAGCTGCTGCTTCATCTTCACACTGCTCATGCAGACCCCCGTGCCAGCAGGATACTCTCTGGGCACTCCGGTCTCCCCCTCCTGCAGGAGTCTGCAGTTTTCCCAGAACAGCTGAAGGTTGTGCTGCCAGATAGGGAGGTGGTGAGAACCTGCTGCCCCTGGAGCAGGTGACTGGACAGGAGTTGGTGTCCAAACACCCCAGCTCCCTTTGGCCTGTGTGGACTGACTCTGAGGCTTCTGTTCTGTGCAGCTCCCAGAGCCCCCCCACCAGGATCTCCAGGTGGCCCCAGTGGTGGCCTGCTGATTACATGCTTCTCATTGTCCCCCACCTCCCTCTGTATTCGAATGCTCCACTGGATGCTTCCCCTGGTCTCCCCCAGTCACCTGCTTGCACTCACATCCTCCTCCCAGGGTCTGCTGCTGGGAAACCCAAACTAAGACAGTGTGGTAGTAAAGGTACAACCTGGAGCTTGGCAGGTGCTCTGCAAACCTTCCTTCTCTTTCTCTTTTTACTCAGGATGTCAAGCCTGTCCCCTCCTGCTGGGTCCTGCCCTTTCCCCCTTTTCATCAGGCCCAGCCCTCCCCACCCCTCCCACTCAGGGCAATTTTGACGCAGCTCAGTGCATTCTCCAAGACCATCCTTGAAGCTGCGGATGGCAGTGGTGACGATGTCAGGTAGCACTGTGACACCTGCATTATATCATTGGATTCCAGCCCCCTTATGTGATAGTGCTCAGGTCGGGTTCCCTGTGAGCAGAGCCTGCCTCATCAGAGGTAGGGATTTTTGTGCTATTGCTGTGCAGTGGAGGGCTCTGGGGAAAAGGGGAGGGAAGGAGCACAGCAGGGTGTGGTCTCACCTGGAGTTCAGTGCTGCCCGATCTCAGTCTCAGGGAACCCTGGAGTTAGAGTGAGAGTCACACCATAGTCCTGCCTCCAGCAGGAGCTCTGGTCTCTGGTGCTCCTGTGCCCATCTGCCCTGGCCTTGGCCAAGATGGGGCAGAGTCTATATAGCTCCCAGACAAGGTGACCCTCGGCTGACACAGGGCACCTTCTTGAGAGGTGGGGACAGAGCTGGGATTGGTGCTCTGGCTGGATCACACCCCGGCAGGCAGATTCCCTGTTGAACGAAGATTGAACGAACATGTATTTTAGGAGGTTTAAATATCTTGCCTGAGACCACACACAGCCAGTAAGTCATTTAGTCCAGGCCTGAGGACCCTGGCCCATTCTTTGGTGTCTGAAAGGGTCCTCTGTACCCTCCCCCAGGGCCTCTTTTGTTCTCTTTTGCATATGCAGAGCTCTGTGAAGCCAGTAGCTGAGAAATAAGAAAGGTAACAGATACTAGATTAACCAAGCCTCAGGTTATTCTTGGCCTGTTCTTGTGAGGATTAAAGCCTAGTGATGTGGTGTCTAGGTGGGCCTGTCCAGGGTGTGCCTCGTTTGTGATGGTGGACCGTGTGAAGGATTCAATCCTGGGCTCACCTTGTAACTAGAGGGAAAACTCGGGCAGCTCAACCTGTACTGAGAATGTTCTCCCTTCCCCAACAGAATCTTCTGGAAGTTCAGACCTATATCTGCATCCTGCAGCAGCTCATTCACACCTCTACTCCTCAGACATCCAGCATGACCAGTGGGATAAGGGAGGTAAGACACTGGGCCACAGCTGCAGGCCGAGCCAGGCAGACTTTCCTCACACCCGTGTGGCCAGTTGGCTTGAGCAGAGACCTGGGGAAGAGCATTGGGTCCAACTGTGAGGACAGCCTAGAGCAGTGTTTTTCAACCTTTTTTTAAATCTCACAGCAGCTTGATTCTATAGTTAAATTTCTACAGCACACTTAAATTATGTTCGTTAAGGCTCGGCGCCCATAGCTCACATAGAACACCAGCCACCTACACTGAGGCTGGGGGTTCCAGTCTGGCCTGGGCCTGCAAGACAACGACAACTCTAACCAAAAAAAAAAATAGCCGCTCGGGAGGCTGAGGCAAGATAATTGCTTAAGCCCAAGAGTTTGAGATTGCTGTGTGCCGTGATGCCATAGCACTCTACCGAGGGTGATGTAGTGAGACTCTATCTCAAAAAAAAAAAAGACAGAGTTAAAAGACCATACTTACTGTGCTTTGAACTTCTTTCAAAAATAATTTAATTAATGATGTTTAAAATTTTTTGAGGCACACCTTTGCCCTCATGGCAAAGCAGTGTGCACGCTGGTTGAAAATCACTGGCCTAGTGGGCTGAGTCTGCCGACGCCTGCTTTTGAAGTTTGCTTCTCTGAATTTTTACTCATACTCTAAATAACTAATATTTAGACAACTGAGGACATCAACTGTGTTGTGACCATTTTCATAGCTATTTTCTGTTAATGAATTATGGGCTGCTCTTTGTTGCTTACTTCATAAGTGGTTTATAAAGCGTAAACCAAGGTGTGTGCTGTCCTTGCGTCTCCGCCAGCCACGAGAGAGTTTCTGACGCTCCACGTCCTTTGCCGGTGCTTGGCGTGTCAGCTTTTTATTTGCTCTTGCTCTCCTCATGGCTCTGTTGTGCATCTCACTGTGGTTTTGATTTGCGTCCCTGATGACTAATGATGCTGAACATCTTTTCGTGTCGTTTGCCATCTGTCTGTCTGCTTTGTTGAAGTGTCTGCTCAAATCTTTTGCCTGTTTTTGAATGGGGTTGTTTGCTTTCTTATTCTTATCAATCTGAGTCTAACTTTCAAATATAGAGAACCTCAGACATTTAATGAATGTATTTCCAAGACTGGGCTCTGCAGTAATGATCATGTGAGTTTGTGGCATGGAAACTACTGAGAAGGGATAGAGATGATTGAAGCTGATTTGCAAAAAACTGGGGATTTGGTTGTGAAACATGATTCTCACTGTAACTCTCCACGTTCCTTCTTCATTTAGCTGTCATACTTTCTACCTAATGTGGTTTATGGAATTTTGTGATGCATAATATGATACTTACCAAAATGAACTGAAAAGGATGCAAATTAAAATAAAAATGTTGCCATGTCCCTTCTCCAGAGGTTGTGGTAGGCTGCTGAAAGTCAACTGATAAGGTTCTGAGTTTTTCAGGGATTGCCTATTTAGGACAGAGGTTCTCAACCCTGGTGACACTTGGGATTGTCTGGATGTATGTTCAGGCCTCACCTAATCAGTGAATGGGCTGCTGGGGAGGTGGAGCCCTGTCCCCGGCTGTGTGCAGGTAAGCTGCTGCAGAACCTGTGGACTTGGTGTCTGTGGCTTGGAGCAAAGCTGAAGAAGTCCCCACGTTAGCTTCAGAAGACACTTTTGAACCTTGCAAAGTAAGAGGCAGGAAAGTTACTTTTTGGGGGTCTAAGTGAGGATATTTTTGTCCATATTGCCCAGCAATTATCATTTCAGTATCCTGTTCTCCTCAGTTGACATAACAGATGTTTCTACAGAGGCATAAAATACCTTTTCCTTTTTAAAGCCTTAATTTTCTTTGCCAGAAATTCCTTTCCAGAGACATTATTTTTATTTTTCAAACTCCATTTTGTCCTCTATTTCAGAGGTGTTTTACCTCCAGGCACACTTGCTGGGTCATATCACGCTTTCCCCTGTAACAGGGCTTTGCTAAGTTGTGAGAGTGCAGAGACGACCTCAACTTAACACATATGGTGTCAAATTGGCATCCCTGGGAGCTTGTGTGATGGCGCATCCAGCTCCACCTCAAACCACCCGAGTCCAAATCTGCATCTGAGCGAAGTCCCAGGGATTCAGGTGCAAATTACAGATGGCAGGCCACAGATTGAGGATGCATCCCATCTGTTATGAATCTTAGCTTAAAAATTCTGCATACACGTTAGGCATTCACTTCCCGGTTCATTTCATTGACCTGCTACTGCCTAGAAAATGTGAAAGTCACGTTTGTATAATTGAGGATGGAAGGCACGTGGTTCCCCAGGAATGCAGGTCAGTGGGTTGTGTCAGAGTACACTATCTGGGGCTGCCTGGCTGCACCCAAAGGTGGGGTAGAGCTGAGTTTATTGTCCCCTGCCGCAAGGGAGTGTCATCCTGAGGAGGCTTGAGAGGCGGCGACTCCATGGGGGAGGGACGGTGAGGGATCTGGGCTGTTAGGGGGTTTGGAGGTTAAGGAAGGTAAGCAGGGCTTGCTCTGGGTTGGGTACCATCAGTCCCACGTCTAAGTATCTCCATCATTGTTTCGAGGACACAGAAGGAGGATGTGTGTCCCCACTCGAGCCGGTGGGGAGAGCAGAGTGGTCATGGTCATTTTTGTGGCTGCCCAGTGGTCCTTCAGCGTGTGTTCCCATTTTCCTTTTGTTCCCATGTGGTCCTAGGTGACATTTTCAGGTACTGAGTGGCATTGTTTATAAATAGGGAACATCCTGGCCCCTCTGCTGGTGCCAGCTGTGGGGCTGTCCTCTTCCTTCTTTGGTGAGTCCTTGGGGCCATCGTGTGTGAGGTGCCCTGTGGGCCGACCTTCTGGGGTTGGGCAGGGATATGAAGGGGACCAGGAGGGAAGCAGTGAGAGAGGCCACCAGACCCAGGCAGGGTCTAGTGTTTGCATTGTGTCTCCTGCTGTGCTGAGGCTGTGTGTCCGGCATTTTACTTGGTAGCATATTTGCAAATCTGCCACATTCTGGTTCTGATGGAGAAGGATCCCCTGCTGTTCCCAACCACACCCTTGGCTGCTTCTGTGAGGCAGGGAGGTGGGGGCTGAGACACAGAGATGCAGAGAGGGCAGAGACAAAGAGACGGTCTTAGAGTCACAGGGTAGGGGAGAGAAAGAGAACAGGAGGAGAGGGAGAGAGGGAGAGATGGAGAGAAACCCTGGAGTGAATGGATGCGGTTGATGAGCCTGGGGTGTGTCTCGCACCCTTCTTGTGCAGATGGTTGGGCCGCGGGACTGGTTCCACACTTCCTCCCAGCTCCTTGTCCTGCCCTGGTTTCCCATGCGTCTGGGTTATTGTTCCAGCCACTTTGCAAAGGGTTTGCAAGCAGGGGACTTCCTGTGGCTCGTGAGCACCACTTGGCTTCTGATTTTGGCTTCGAGTTGGCACACTGTGTCGGAAGACAGTGCTCTTGAGCATTTACCTTTGTGAGGCAGATTTGGATGTTTTTGAGCAGACAGTGGAAAGGTGGGTCAGGAGAGGGGCAGCTGCTTGGCAGAGTGCGGAGTGGCGCGAGGAAGATTTCCCTCCAAGCTGTTCCGCAGAGCGTGGATAGGATGGTGCGGCAGCCTTACCAGGGCCCGGCTCCCCTTCCCCTCTCTGGGACCTGTGGCTCCCACTTCGTGCCTCTGACACCACGGCCCAGTTGATGGCTCAGCGCTCAGACTCACCTTTCTTTTCACATACACAGAAAATGGAGGCCCGTGAGAGGCTGCTTCCCGGGCTTTCCTTCTGACTGAATGGAGAGTGGAGGCTTTGGGGGCTGATGTCTCCTGCAGAGTCTCCTAGCGAGTTCCTGGCATAGCCAGGTCTGAGCTCAGATCCTGAGACCTTCTCTGGACTTCACACTCACAAGCGGTACAGACTCTGTAAACAAAACCCGCAGGCCTGCCATAGTCTGCTTGGGCTGCTGTGATGGGACACCATAGAACGGGGACCTTCTGTTACAGATATTTATTTTTCACAGTTCTGGAGCCTGGAGGTCCAAGATCAGGGTGTCAGCAGATCTGCGTCTGCTGAGGCTTCTCTTCCCATCTTCCTGAGGCTTCTCTCCCCCGGCTTGCTGAGGCTTCTCTTCCCGGCTTGCTGAGGCTTCTCTTCCC